TTAATGTTAGAATGTAATGTCCTGAAGATGTAACACCCTTCTTTGTGATCTCCATATTAATTAACTCTTGTAAGAGGGTATGCATTATAGTCACTACTCCACCACTATTTCTACCTAATGTTAACTTCCTAGCTAGACATTTTGCTGTTTGACAAAGATAACAATGCAATAGAAAATCAATATAACTTTTATCTTTACTAGAAGCCATAAAGGCTTGTCTAGAAAGATTTCAAATATAAGAACATAGCTTTAGAGAAGGAACTCAAGTACAGATTGCAAGAAATGTAATACCAAGCCAAGTTTCCTGATGAGATTCTTTATTTATGAGCTGGTGACCTGGGGATAAGTATGTATTGGCTTTAGTTCAGAAGAGAATCTCCATAAGGAAGAAAAATTGAAAGTAGGGGATCCAGCCCACATGAATAAATGAGGAAAAATAAGACTTCCTACACTTCAAAAGTAACTCCTTCATGCATCCCCCCATCAAAAATCCATATGGAACCACAGATTTTTCTAAAAACTATTATGAAAATTATGTTCCCTACTACCTACAGTTTAGCGTGAACTGGTCTAAGCATTTTGACTGCTTTTTCTCTTACACTTACCTTAGAAGATGAAATAGTGCTCATGTTTGGAGGGAATTGGAGAAAGAGAAAAGGGCAATTTTAGATTCAGGCATATTTTGGAAAAGATGCTGAGTAGGGAGTAGTAAATGCTTAGAAAAGCTGGAAATAGTCTCTCGGTCCTTGGAAGTTTCTGAACAGATGGGTAAAAATAGTCAAAGCTCCAAAAAAAGGAAGGCTGCATTAACTACTCAACAGTTATTGACAGGAGTTCTGCATGGTATATACATCAAATGAAAAGTAAGTTGTAGTCCTGTACTTGTATGCCTAAAACAATTAACTGGCTTTTTTCTGGAAAAATGAATTCTGTCTTCCACATCACCTTAGAATAAAGTATACTTACATTAGTGTGAATAAGCTCTTAGTTAGCTAACCACATTTGTTTCTGGCATCTTTGTCATACATACTGATATATATTGGTAAGACCTTACCATATAAAACTTGATTTCCAAAAAAGGATTACAAAGTACTTGGCCTAAACTAACTTTCTCTGAGCACTAAAAATAAAATGAACCTGGGCCTGGGATGTAGCTCAGTGGTGCTACCACCTGCCTTGCAAGTGCAAGGCCCTGAGTTAGATCCCCAGTAAAAAAAAAAAAAAGAAAGAAAGAAAATTCAATTCCAGAGCAGCCAACAGAATAATTCTGGCATATAAGCCGTCACTATTAAATGGTTCATTTATCTAAATAACATTCAATCTCATAATCACATTAAAAATTTTAGGATAAAATTCTCTAAACCCTAAAAATTCCATAAGGCAGTGCTAGCAGCCAGAGAGCTTTCATTCTTTTAAAAAATTATTTTTAGTAGTATATGTTTATGATGCATAATTGATCTTGAGGAATTAGTACATATAAATATCACATTTTGATCATTTTTATGACCCCAGTCCCCCACCTTCCCCTTTCCCTCATTATCCAGGTCCCCTTCCCATTTGGGGGTGTATTTCTTAGTTGTTTGTCATCTGCTCCCAGATTTCCCCCAACAAACTCTCATGACAACTTTTTTGGGAGGAGTGACTTTAAATCGGGTTGGTGAATCCATTTATGGATCACTCACTGCACTGCCTTTTGGGTATCTTTTCTCCTTTTGACAGCTGCAGTCATCAGTATCTGCTGATGCTGCCTCTGTTGCTTTGCTGAAATTGCCTTACCCAGAACCTTCAAAGTCAAAAACTACTCCACTCCAGGGTAATTTTTCTAAAATGCAGATAGTTTGACAGCTCTTCTTAAAAGCCTACAGTGACTATTTTCCATCGAATAAATCTCAAAATTTATAGCGCTAAATACCTTCATATTGTACTTCTTCAACCTTATCTTCTATGGCTTGCCTTTATTCCTTTTAGTTTCACACAGTTTTTCTAATTTATATTTATATCTCCAGTTCTTTACCTGTGTCTCACAAAGTGCCTTGTTGAGCTTTGGAAACCTCATATTCTCACCTTCTAAGTCTAAGATGTCAAAGCAATTTTATTTATTTAGTATCTGTAATATATATATATTTAAAGCAACATGTAGCAGTTGTTTATGCATTTATATCTCCTACTATACTCTGATTTTCATTAATGTTGATCCTTTATTAATTTTTGTAAATCCAGGACATAACACATAATTACATAATAATTGTTTATTACATAAGTGCAGGAAATTTTCACTTTCAAATCTCAAGATTTACCTCAGTTCCTAATACTAAGGAGTGCTTGCTAGGCATTAGCCCTCTGCCCAGCACTGGGCTCGGTCTCCTGGGGGAGATGGGGAGTGAAGGAAGGACTGGTTGATACAGGGTTTGGGCCATTGTAGATATGGGCTCATTTTTTAGGGGAACATAAATTTAGAAAGACAGACAATAGCAGGTAGAATGATACTTATTACGGAAAAGAGGAGATATTCATGGTACTGTAGAAAAACTTAGATAAGTAATATGAATGGGAAATGATCCTTACTACAGTTGGTCATGTACTTGTTGAAATGTATTGAACTAGTGGAGGTAGATGAGCATAAATTAACAAGAAGGTGAGTTTGTGGCTAGTAAGGTACTTGAAGCTGTAAGTGTGGGGAAGAGCAAGATGCTCCATGGATTTGATATTCTGGCAACTGTACCAAGATGGAGAGGTGGGAGCTGGGAGAAGTTTGTGCAAAGAACCAAAACTGCTACATTTTTCGTTTGGCTGGGACTCCCCTTCCCCTGGTGTGGGGAAACCTCCCCCTCCATGCAGCAGTGCCTCAGCGATGATGGGCTATGAAGGTTCGTGAAATTTCTATTTATTGGTGTTGTAGCAGCTGCTGCACTTAGAGGTGCACAGCTTGGTACCTCAGCTGTAAACAACTTTCTGATCCAGTATGTAGCTCTTTGGAGAAATATTTTATTGAAAATTCTCAAATATACAGAATAGAGATTTTACTCATGTACCCATAACCTCACTTTAATGCATATCAATATTTTGTGATCTTTTATTCTAATATATTTTAAAGTAAAATTTGGATTCACTGTATTTCATACATCAATAATATATCAGTATGCATCTCTGATACGGATATTAAAAATAACATAATCATAAGACATTATCACATCCAGTAATGCTTTTCTTCCCCTTTCTGCTTTTCTCACTCTTCTTTTAGGTGTATATTACATATTGTTACCAGATACGATTAAGAGAAGAAGTAGGCACTGTACCCATTTTCCTTGTGCTAGCATAGTATTTTATTTGCAGTACATCATCTGCATTGGTTAGAGTTCTGTAGAGGAGCAGAATTGATAGAAAATATGTATTTTCACATAACTTTGCAAGGGAATTTATTACACTTCTGGGTTCAGAGGCAGGACAATCCACAATGGCTGTCTGTGTGCTGGAGAGCCAGAGGATTCAATAACAGCCAAGCCCAGGAAGCTGAAAGCCGTAGAACAATAGGGATCAAAGATGCACCACAAATATGAGATCAAGGACCTGGATACTCTCTGGAGAGTCACTTATATAAGCCTGTGCTGGAAGGCTGATGAAATTAAATCCTAATATCCACAGGTGACAGGAGAGGCAAAAGATGTACCTACTCAAGAGAGTGGGAGCTTCTAAAAGATGCGATAGACTTCTTTTTCATTCTGCCCTTGCCACAAGTCTACTGGATGGTGCACACACAATCAGGGTAGGTCTTCTCTCCTGAGTTTGCTGACCTGCATGACAACCATCTCTGGAAACACTACCCAGACATATTTGAGAAATGTGCTTTACTAATTTTTTAGCCTTAATCCACGCAAGTTGACATATTAGGACTGATGGTCACACCATCTATGAAGATTGAAGTTCCTGGATGTGAGGGTAATCTGGCTGCAACATCTGTCATCCCATTGATTGCCAGGATTGATTCGGCTGATCTGGCTGCTAGACTGCTGTTCCTTTCCTCCCTCATTGCTCCATGTGCTTCCCTCCTGAAGCTGCACTTGGTTTAAGAGGATGGTCACGCCCATAGAGGAGGCCCATTGTTTCCTCCATCAAGGGTATAGGAGTTGCCGCACTCCCCTGCTAGACCCTCCAAACAAGCTCTCAAGAGTGAAGTTCCCTGGCTTTTGCCCTCCTCCAATCTATACCTGAAACCTTAATTAGCAGAAAGATATATTTAATGTGTAAACTAACCTAGTACTATTTCAAGATATATCCGTTCCTGTATTTCAAAAGTGTCCATTAGGAAAATCTTAGTCTGAGAGTTCTTAAAGACTTTCAAGCAGTATAAGTATTCCCAGTATTTATAGATATGAAATTGCCTGTTCTGCCTGTCATTGGCTGGTGGTGGGGAAGCTTATTCTCCTAAGTAACTTTATGAAGTAACTTAAAAGGCTAATTGTTAGAGTTTAAATCTAAAGTGTTTCCCCCAAATCTCATGTATTTGGAAGGTGACTAGATCATGGAGATCCATCCATTGATGAGTTTAGTAGCTGAATCTACTGCAAGGAGGTGGGGCATAGCTGGAGGTGGGTCACTGGGGTTTGACCCAGAAGGGAGTATTGTTCTTGGCTCTTCCTTTCTCTCTTCTTTCTGCCATGGCATAAGCAGCTGTCTTCTGCCAGGCCCTTCCACCACCTGACTATGGACTGAATTCACTGGAAACTTTGAGGCAAATAAAGCTCTCTTCTTTAAGTTGTGGGTATCGGGTATGTTGTTCCAGTGATGAGAAAATAAATGACTAATACACTAGTGACCATAATACCCAGCTATCCTAGTTACTGTCTTTGCCCGCCCTTTGCTACCAAAGAAAGTCTACTTCACCTTGTATAGAGTAGGTTAAATAAAAAGAGAATACAAAGGATTCTGATCCTTACGGATTTATGATGTGCTTGGCAAAGTTAAAGCATATTTAAAGATTAAATATTCAAAAAGGATTGAAGTTAACTGTACAAAGTTAATTCATGCTGTGGGCAGTAAGAAGAGTGAAAGGAACTTCCAATTGAGAATAGTCCTAGGTTTTTTGAAGTGAGATTTCATCTGGTCTTTGCTGGTCATAGTTCACAGGTGAGAAGAAAGCAGTAGGGTGTTCGGGAAATGCTGTGGGTGGTGGGAAGGAAAACAGGACAAATGAAATGTGGAAAGCTGAAGTCACACACCAGGTTGAAGGAGGCATGTTTAACCCAGCGTGGTGGTTACTGTACCACGTGCCTCTGCCTTCTCACCTGATTCTTAAAAGTTGTTATCCCATTTTATTTATTTATTTATTTTCTGCCATTAAGTTTATTGGTACATTTTAGGTATACATTACAATTATATTCATCATTGGGATCTTGTATCTTTACATGATGTATCTTGGCTCTTCTTTTTTTCCCATTCCCCTGCCCTCCCTCCAACCTCTCCATCCCTCTCTATTTCAAAGACTTTGTTCCACTTTTTCATTTTCTCATATTAATTCCATTCACCTGATTTAGGGATAGATGGGTTAGATAGTTTCGTGCATATTGACCTTGTCCCATCTTAAATGAATATGATGATAGTACTACGCATTTTTGCCTCAGGGTTTTCTCTGGTGCCTAGAAAGTGTGCTCACACAACAGAGACACTTCATGGATGGAGTTAGTATTTGTGTAGGCAGTCTTCAATGAATGGAGGTTGAAGGCAGTGGAAGATAGCCCAAAGTATCACGGGCAATTCTAGGATGCATTTTACATGTTTTCTCAGACAGCCCCCAATGGAACTAAGCCTTAGTTACCAAAAGGGTCACAGTGCCACACATTTGTATTGCTTTCCCCTCCTTTCGTGCATCCCTATGCTCCTGCTCCCTGAACATTGCTTCCTAAATAAACTCAATACTTGCAGCAGAATCTGCTTTTCAGGAATCCCAAACTAAGATAGCCTGATTGATATACATTAAACAGTATTATAGGGAAATAGGAATAAATCCAGGATGATAGGTTTATGACGACTTGTTACCCTCTCTCTCTTTTTTGTGGTACCGGGGATTGAACTCGGGTCCTTGCGCTTGCAAGGCAGGCCACCGAACCACGGAGCTAAATCCCCGGCCCTACCCTTTCTTGTTGATTAAAAAAAATTATCGCTATTTACCTGTTGACTTCATAGTGCTTTTTCCTTGCTGTTATTTAGAAGAAGTAAAACTGATTTCCATTTTTATATTACAATTTTCACAGAGGTAGACATGACTTGTAATTTACAGCTCTTATGGATTCTTGTTTCGAGGTTTCATAATGTCTCTCCTCATTGCAATAAATGGCAATCTGTTCTTTCTTTTGGTCAGGCCACATGTTGGGGGGGGTCATAACTGGATCTTATCTTTTTCTCACAACCTACCTCAGATCTGTCAGAGCATCTTGTTGGCTCCATCTTCACAATAATGCAGAAACTGGCCAGATGTTAATATCTCCATCACTGCTGCTTTGGTTTAAGCCACAGCTATCTCTGAGACTGTTGGAAGAAGAACATTATATGTGGCTTGCCTCAGTGCTTCTCCCTTTAACTACCAGTTCAGTCTCAGCAAAACAGAACAATTCTTTTAAAATGTTTAAAATGACTGTGTTTTCCTTATCCTCAGCACCCTCCTATGGCTTTCTATCCTACTTTGAGTAAAATCCAAAGTTTTTACGGCGACTGAGTAAAAGACAAAGTTTTTGCATGATCTTTCATCTCATTTTTCCTTTGACCTTTGTTCTCATTCCCTGACTGATGCTACTCCAGCCCACTGGCCTCATTGGTGCAGCACAGACAGGGCAACAATCTCCCACTGTAGGTCTTCGCACTTATGTAACCTCACATGGAAACACTTTCCCTTCCCCTCCTCTAGTACTTACTCACCTGTTGTTACTGCTTTACTATCAAAAATTGTAAACTCTACCAGAACACACCCTTTCTCCTTCTCCTGTTTTATTTTTCCCTTTAGTACTTTTCACTAATAAATCTGTTATATTTTATTTAAAATGATTGAAACTTTTCCCCAGGAGGTAAAGGTAAATTCCATTAGGGAAGGCTTGCTTTCTTTTTTGCCCTTTTGGTGGTAGCTGGTAGAGATGGCCAAAAACAGCAAACACAGACTTTGATGGTTATTTTAGGTGTTAACTACACTTATCACCAGTACGGATGGGCATTACTCAGTGTGCTGAGGGACTGCATAAAAAAGGCAGAGGAAGAGCAAATTTGCTCAACCTGAGGTACACCTTTTCCTGCCCTCAGACAAAATGCTTCTAGTTCTTGGGCCTTTGGACTTGGCTGAATTGTGGCACCAGCTTTCCTTGTCCTCTGACTTGCTTCCGTAACTGTGTAAGCGATTCTTGAAGCCAGTCACCCCTCCCCCACCCATTCAGTTTCTCTAGAGAACCTTGACTAATCTATACATTTACAGTGATTTATAGTGGGTCCCTAATAAATATATATAAATATACATAGGTACCATATATGAATATGTAAATATTTAAAAGGTTGCATATTCATTCTGTTATTTTGTGTATTTGTTTATATATAACACATTTTATATATATAAACAAAATGAAAGAATGGATATACAACCTTGTTTAATGGTTTTGAACTTTTTTTTTAGACTGAAGATGGAGCTCTACTGCTAATGTATGGAATGTACTTAAATGAATGTACATTAATGGGTAATGTGCTTAAAGATTTTAAGAACAAAAAGAATCCAGGAACTGGATTGGAATTACTATTTAGCAGAACTTGTGTTTTGATTTTTAGTTCAAATTCAGGGTCACGAGATTTACATCTGAAACCACAAAAGCTGTTAGAAGCTTTATAATCAATGTCTAAACACATAAAAATCACTTCTTTTATAATTCGCTTTGCTCAGAAATGTATTCGAAAATCCCTCGGCATCTTTGGCTTAGAGAAAGTATAGTATGGAAGTTCCAAACTAGGCCACAGGCTCTGTAAGAACAGATACCTAATTATTTCATATACCACAGAGTTCCTAGTGACTGTACCTGGTAGATGGTAAGTTCTCAATAAACTTACTGTCTGATCAGTGAACAAAGATGATGTAGAAAGTTTCCTTTGTGCTCTCCTCCCCCTGCCTCTTCCTAGCAAGAAGCCCCAGATGTTGATTTCATCTATTATTCCTGACTCACCCCTTCCCTGGCCTTTGGTTTGGTCTGTCCCTCCTTCAAAGTTTTTCGGTGTGATGCTGTCATCCATTCTCAGCACATGGCTTGTCCAGCATCTGTTCTTCCTGAATGCCGTGCAGGAGCAGAAAGACAGGAAGTTTACTATTTCCCCTTTATCACAGGCTTACCTTTATGGGATGATTGTGAGGGTCAGAGGAAGGCAGAGAATGAACTGGGTGGAAGTATTTAGGTTGTGTAAAACATTGAGCAAATTGAGCAGTGATTGCCAGTGGAAGCGATGGTTATGCACCACTGTCCCCTACATTTTTGAGTTGAGAGGACATCAACTAATATAATATAAAAAAATGAAGTATTTGTCCCCTTGGGACTTTTATACTTTTTAGAGAGAAGTTGTTTTCATTCATGGGTAACATTTAGTGTGGAAATGAAGTTTTATGTTAGTTTCAGTGGTTATATCGGTCTTAATTTCTCTTGCACTCCTAGGATGGTAGCCTTTGTTAGTAAAACCAGCACAAAGATGTGTATGCTGATGCGCATCTGCCAGTTCAGATCTTTTTTTTTTTTTCAGGGTTGTGTGGAACGTGGTCGGAAGGTAAGGGAGTGAAAATGCCTTTTGAAAAGGGCCTATTAACTGAATTTTGGAAAAAAAAATGTTTCCTGACTTTGGTGTTTTACTTCATTTATATAAATTTACAATTAAAATATGGTTCCAGATAAGCAGGACAAAACCAAAACCAAACAAACATCCAAAAAGTAAAAATATGACTTCCAGACATAGCACTGTGTCTTTTTAGGAATCTTGACCTTCACTAATTGTAGTTATTGGTTTAATTACAACTTCGGTTACTAACTAGAGTATTCTGGATGCTGTAGTAAAAAGAGCCCAGCTATACAGCGATCCAAACACTATTATAGAACTTTATCTTTTGTTTTTGTAATAGAAGTGGAAATGTGAACAAGTCAGTAGGCAGCTTTCTTCCCACCTGGTCATCCAGACATTGCAGCAATAATAGCTTTGCCAGATATAGGTCCCAGGGTGGTCCCCATTTTTCTTTTTCTTTTTTCTCTTTTCCCAGTTTGTAGAGGAAAAAGTAAAGACAAGCCTGCATAGAAATTTTCATTGCAAAGTTTGGAAGTATAATGCATAATTTCTCCTATTCCATTGATTAGAATTTAGTTTCATGGTCATACATAAACTCAAGAGTCTGGAGGATGTAGCTATTTAACTTGGGTTCTTTAGAAAATAGAACCTAAGGCAAAGACCATGTGCTAATGCTTTATTTGTGACGTATAAGTCCAGGGCAGAAGAGTGACAAATTGAAGTGAGGCAGAAAGAGTGCAAGGTAATGTGCTTACTGTTACTTCAGCACACACTGAAGATGATAGCATGTTCCTCAGCAGGTGGACTCACTAGGAAAGACTGTCTGGCAGAAGCGCAATTCGGAACATTCTGCTGGTGTGATGAAGTAGGTCTGGGTCTGAATGGCCCTCCTTCCCAAAATTCATGTGTTGAAGTTTAACAGCCAGTGAGATGGTACTAAGATGTGGGCTGTTAGGCGGTTATTAGGAGCCTTTGCATCCACGAATATATTATTACCTCTGTAAAAAGGCTCGAGGGAAGTATTTAGTCCTTCTCTATTTAGATATCTTCTACTGTGTTAGGACATAGGATTTGCCCTGTCTAGAGGATTCACCATTCAAGATATCATTTTGGAAGCAGAAATCAAGCCCTAGCAGACACCAAACCTTTTGGCACCTTGATCTTCTCCACCTCCCAAACTGTGATAAATAAACTTTTAACATTTATAAATCATCCAGTCCTAAGTACTTTGGTGTAGTTGTATACATCAACCAAGACAAAAGAAAACAAAATTATCTACCCACTTCTCACTTTTTGTGTCTCACTGGTCACAGCCTGCTGCTCAAGAATCTGTTGCTCAGTACTATTGCTTTGTGTCATTGAGCACCTTTGGTAGCTTCTCAGCAGTCAAAACCAACATACTATGGTGTGGTATTTAGTTGAATCTGACTCAGAAAGTGGCGGAAGACAGATCTGTGGAATGTACCTTCTTGGCCTCAGAGAACAAAAATTCGTAAGTTTGCATTAAATTGTGGCAGCAGTCTGGAAGACAGGAAAATCCAATATAGTTTGAAAATTTATAAGAAGTCCTCCCATCACATCATTCATATCTATTTATATCCTTCAAAATATATCTGATTCACAAAGTATAATATAGGAGCAACTTTTAATGTTTTAGAATAAGAGGATATCACATTGTTCTGGGAAGTAGAGATAAAAATTCAATCAGTCATAGAGTTACCTTAATACTAAATTTTACTAGAAGAGCCAAGGCAAGAGCATTGGTGTAAAGCAACTACAGTCCCTTCTGCTACAGCTGGTCTTAAGGCTATACTTGCTGTCTCTTATCTCTTTCTACCGTCTATTGTAGATTTGTCTCCCCGGTACTTTTACTGATATAGTTGCCTTATGGGGTGACCTACACTTCATTCTAAGGATTCTATGCTCTTTGTTGTTTTGCAGTTATTGGTATATGATTGTTATAATTGGCCAGTGACATTTATGGACATGGAAATACTAAGAGATTCCTTAGTAAATAGACATGTTCAACAGACATGGCAATAGACATGTTCCTCCGTGTCTGCATTGTGCTGATACAATTTTAACTTCTCATGGTAATTATTCTAGCTAGTACAGGAACTCCTTTCTTTGACTACAACTGTCATGGTGTCCAAATTATCCATGGTAGATACAGTTTTCAATTCAGGGAGCTATTACTGTGACCTGGCAATAGTGTTGCTTCTCTAGGAATTGGGACCAAAACCCCAGCAGAACATAGGGTTGTAGGATGGGAAATAGATACTACAAATGGATTACTGAGTGTAATAAAGAGAAGAGAGAATTCTGTCTCTACCTTGTTATTCTTGAACTTTTGTTTTTGATTACTGGAGACATAGCAGTTACTTCAGTCCATTTAGGCTGATATAATGACATATCATAGACTAGGTAACTTGTAAACAATAGATATTTATTTCTCATAGTTAAGGAGGCTGGGAAATCTAAGGCGAAGTTGCTGGCAGGTTCAGCATCTGGCGAGATCCTGCTTTCTTATAGATGGAACCTTTTTTCTTTGTCGTCACATGGCAGAAGGGGTGAGGCATCTCTCAGATCTTTTTTTTTTCCTTTTTATTGAGTTTATTGCTACAATCTAGGTATACAATACAGTTACATTCATCATTGGGATTCTGTACCTTATACATGGAAAAAATAAAAACAAAAATAAAATAAATTAACATTTCTAGACCAATATGGCTGTCCATTTCTGTACAATGCCAACTCAACACAGTAAATTGGGATGACTTTTTCCAAAGTTGGCAGCACCAATAAAGTTTCCCAAAATTCATTTTATATATATGTATATATATATATTTATATTTAAATAAAAAGACTAATAATAGCAGTATGTTATGCATCGATAGCAGCAACAGCTTTTCCAGGTTCTGCAGTCATCTCAGATCTTTTTTTAAGGATACTCATCTCACTCCTGAGAGCTCCATCCTCATGAGCTAATCACCCCAAAGGTTCCAACTTCTAATAACGGCATCTTTGGGGTTAGGATTTTAACATATAACTGGGTGTGGTGGCAACATCCAGACCACAGCAGTGCTATAGTACTAGATGTGAGTTTAGTGTATGTACTGAATCCTACAAGTTGGTGCCTTAGTCCTCAATGTGCTGTCCCTGAGCTGGAAGCTTAGCTGAACCTTTCACAGCTCACTCCACCTTTTTTTTTAGGTTGCTGTTTTTGAGTGATGAACTTATTTATCAGAAAGGCATGTACATCTTAAAAATGTACACCTTTAATCCACAATAAAAACACTAAACAGAATGTGTCAATAATTTTATAAGCCATGAAATTTATGAGAATCATATATATGTGTGTGTGTGTGCACAGTTGCACAGAGTTGCATAGAAATATAACAGAACAACAAATCCAATGCCTACATCTTATAAAAGGAAAATGGAAGCCCACAGAGAAAGTGACTCAATAGGAGCCTATTGCTCAGTGTACCTGTATTTTGCCATTTTTAAATCCAACCTCCCTCTCTCCCTTTTTCCTCTTACCCTTCCTAGCCTCCTTTAACTACAATTCTTACTTTTCTCCTTTGAGGATGGTTTTTTTAGCTTCTGTATATGAGTGTGAACATGTAGTATCTGTCTTTCTGTATCTGGCTTATTTCACTTAACATAGTGTTCTAGTTCCATCCATTTTGCTTCACGTGAAAGGTTTCATTCTTTACGGCTAAATAGTATTTATACACACACACACACACACACACATACACATTTTCTTTGAAAATTCATCTGCTGATGGACACTTCAGTTATTCGCATAGCTTGGCTATTATGAATACTTAGGTACAATGAACATGGAAATTCAGGTATCTCTTTGATATGCTAATTTCATCTACTTGTTTGAGGTACACATTTAATACTTGGGGATATTGGGGTTTAGAGCCAAGTATTTCTGAACCCAAAGCCTGTGCCTCACTTGACAGTGAGTACCAAAGCACACATCAAACTGTCTGGGGTATATCTTGCAGAGGTTGTCTCATGGGCACTTCATAGTCAGCATTTAAAAAACTGATCTCATCATATCTGCCTTTGAGTTTGATGCCTCCTAGGGTACACTATCATTACAAATGAGGCAAATTGCTAGCTGCCCAAGCTGGAGAACTAGGGGTTGTGCTATATTATTCCTCTTCATCCTCACCTATTCAATCAACCACTAATACCTGCAGTGTCCAAGTCTTACATTCTCTCATGTCTGTCCATTTTCACTGCTGCTCTCCTAGTCCGACTTACCATCATTTGTTTTAAGTTAATTCACTTACCTTCTAATGAGCTATATAATTGCTTAATGAGGCACAGAATATTATTTTCACCTGAATTTCTTTTACAATGTGCTTTATCTTCTACTGGAAGAATGTTTGGGATAGAGCAAGGGTGGAGAAGCTATCGCCAAGGCTGCCTGTGTTGTCATTGAAAGCTCTAAAAGGTTTGCCATCACTGGGTTAGAGCATCCCTTTCCCCAGCACTGCTTTACTCTTGTATCACAGCATAGTTAAACTTGTTAGGTGATACTGAGACTTCAGGGAAAGGGGAAAATTATGGTTTTTTAAGAGCACAGAGGAAATAATTCTATGGTTAAATGCCCAGTGCAGAGGGAAAGAGAAGATAGAAAGAGGAAAGATAAAGGAATAGAGATAGGGGTGAAGAATTAGAAGATTGTAAGAAGATGGGAGCCATTAAAATTCATAGGATGAAGAATCAACAAATATTTTTAGGAATATTATAGCTTGTGATAGGGCAAGAGACCACCAGCTGCCCAACTTGGTCTGTTTGCACAGTACTGCTGGTGAACTGCTGGGCCCTCTTTGCCCAGTGGGAATGGCACCCCTTAGTGTGGTCCTGGGTTAAGACTGGTGAGAAGAGGGGAAAACCGGGATGGTTCTGGAGGAATTTTTTTTTTTTTTTTTTTTTGTACCTGGGATTGAACTTGGGCCCTTGCACTTGTGAGGCAGGTACCAGAACCACTGAGCTAAATCCCCAGCCTGATTCTGGAACAATTTGATTTGCTACTTAGAGGCTTGCAACTGAGGCTCTCTCTGGGCCAAGATTAGAGGGGCTGGAAAAGCCATCCTGAGGCCTACCCTCTGCTGAGCATGGGGAGGAGTGGGGCCCAGGTGTTCTTAAAGTCTGTTTTAGTGGCAGAACAGCAGACTCAGGACCATGTGCACATATATAAACATATATGAAGTAAATCCTTCCTTTTTCCCTCTTATAATGTTTTTCAAAATACTTAAAAAAAAAGTTTTTTTAGAGTAAATCTCTATTGGAGGAACTGAACAGTTTTATATCTGGGTTAACAGAGGTCAGAGAGGATTCATGAGCCCAAATTGCAGAGGAGGCTGTGAGAAATAGGCCCAGGAAAATTTGCAGAAGTTTTGGAGCAGAACCTTAGTCTTTTGCTACTACATGGAACTGTTGAGGGCTCAAGACAATTATTTCTACATCTCTGAAGAGATGAGGGGTCCCAGCTGCCTTCTGATTGGCATTTGGTTGTACAAAAAGTCACTCTTTCCTGAATGACAAAGTGATATTTCAAGAAGCATGTAAATCTAGAATTTTTTTTTTTTGGAAAAAAGATAGCCAAGCAACTAGAACAAGATTCAAGAATTTTGAAAAAATTAAAAATTGATGTGGAAATGGTATTTCAATGACCTGGATTTTATTCAGAGTTTTGCCTTGACTGGGTTCTAGGGAAATGCCAATGGGAAGTAGTGAACTTCTCCTTAACCTTCTGGTCCTTGTCAGTAAAATTAGGGACTTAGAGCAAACACTGTTTCCTAAAGATTGATTTCTGTGATAGTAGTTGTGGGAATTTCCATGTTTCTACCCATGTCCAAAGTATGTTCATAGATAGATGACTATAACTCAGGATTCATCTGATATAGTTCAGATTTATGCCTGATTCCTGGTATAGTTATTAACAGTACCCATTATACAGTTAAAATTGTCCAGGATTGGGTAATAACATTTATAGTTACCTTGTGATGACTTGTTCTTTGAGTAGAAAATTTTAAGTTATTTTAAACAGGTTGCTTAACTGCAAAACTTTCTAGATCTTTTATTCTGGGGTATAGTCACCAGTGTTTTGTCTTTGAAATCCTTGATTCTTATGGGAGTAAGCTAGTGGAACCTGTTTTAGGAAAAAGTATTAAATCATCATAATTCAACAAATAATTATTACAGTACTATGTGTCAAGCCCTGAAAGAGGCAATGGAAAAACATCATGATGGATAGAACCTTACTCAGTTTATGCTCTGATCCAGAAGTGAAGCAAAAGGCAGTGGGGATTAAAATAGTATACACAGAATTGCAGTTCAAGGTCACATCCTAACTTTGATATTCTACTATGATGCTATGTAATTAAGACTAAGCTAAGGCTGAATAAGTCCAAATCTCAAGTGAATGGTATAATCTGTAAGCACTATGTCAAATGAAGTTTTAAAAAGTTTTAAACTCAGTACTGAATGGATTGTTTGATAAAAATTTCAAAGTATTCATATAATGGTCCAGAAAAACAGTTTTTTTCATGAGTGTGGAGATCATCCTATTTTAACATTTAGAGTTTTAGCAGTGCTCAGAAGGAAATGATTGGTAGGGTTATTTCTAAAAAGGTACAATAAATATTACTTTACAGAAAGTCTTTATGATTGGTGACTGTGATTAGAAAGTTACCTAAGATTAATTTTCAATAGAATTTTTATGATTAACACTGATAGACAACAGTGGTACAAAACAATTTATTCACATATTAATTAATGTATTCCTTAGACAATCAGATTGTATTAGTATTCCCAATTTACAAAGGAAGAAACAAAGCCCAGAGAGTCTGAGTAACTTATCCAAGCTTTTATAGCTGATTAATGTTGGAACCAAGATGTAAAGTCAGGCCTTGTACCCTTCCTCACTAGTAAAAGTAGGGGATTTAGTTCAGTGGTGCCACACTGCCTTGTCTCGCAAGTACAAGGTCCTGAATTTGATCCTTGTTACCAAAAACAAAACAAAACATAAAAAACAAAAAAACCCCAACAGACTAGAAAAAGTAAATGTCATTAGTTATGTGTGAGGGCTGATTGTGAACATAGCTTACCAACTCAGAGTTCAGTAAACTCAAAGTACCTTGAAATCAGTCATAATGAGAATATTTACAGCACAGAAATAAGTAAAGGTGACAGATGAGAGCTCCTCTCACCCCCAGAGTTGATTGTTAAACAGTTACTAGTGTACTACTGAGTAGAGACATTTGGAAAGCTGTTTGAGTCTTACAGGTATTCTCTTGGGGAATTGTTGGTACTTCATATGTTACTTTGGCATTTTCATCAGATGAGAATTCCTTTTGTCTTGAATTAGAAGAGTATATCTAAATGAGAATTCTCATGATCATTGAATTATTGGATCTGAGAGTCTTTTTTAGAAAACTGTTCCATCTGTCACCAGACTGAATCCAAGGAAGTTCCTGAACCCAAAGTAAGGAACCTAACCCACCCTTCTTTTAGAATAAGTTTGCAACTTTGCTGAAAATAATTTCCAGGACTAGTCATTAAGAGACACAGTTAAGGTTTTATTAGGTAGACATTAAGAGGTGCATACTTGGGACATAAAGTGATGACCCTCAAGAGAGAATGGTACTTATTTTGTATAATAGGGACTATTTATGCTTCTCTTGAAGCTGTGGAAACCCTGGGAAGGTGTGGCTCACACCCCAGAAGGATAGTAGCCTGTTTTACAGCTATGGCCCAGTTTTTTTTTTTGTTGTTGTTTTTTCCTGATCAGGTAATTCAAACATTCTTTGGATTCTCTCAACCAGTTCCTTTACTTTAGGATCAGGTTTCTGCTCTTTTACTTTTTCAATTAAGCCAACTATGGAGTTCAGCAATCCTGAAGAATCTTGAGTATGATGAATCCAGAAGGGAAGGACCCTAAATTTAACTAAGGGAATGGTGAAATGGATTACCTTGGGTAACTTTGACTGAGACCCAAAATTGTAGTCTTCTTAAAAGTACCACCTTTAGGTATGATTTCCTTTTTATCTTTTATTTCTTCTACCCTAGCTCAGATCAAAGTACAGTGTTACATATTATAAAACTTTTTGGCTCATACTCCTTTATTTCTTTAAGCCCATTATTTGCATATTTTTACCACAATGTAAATTCATAGTTACTTATATCTGCCTCTTTTTTCCCTGCTAGACTATAAGATCTACATTAAAATCAATACCAGGTTAGTTCTACACTCTCAGCATTTTTCCAAAGTGCTTGAGTTCAGTATTGATTAACTGAGTAACTTTAGAAAGTGTTTTTCTTTTTTTTCTTTTAAATTGAATTTATTGGTACATTCTAGGTAGAAGGTACAGTTACATTCATTACTGGGATCTTGTACCTTTACCTGCCAGGTCTTGGTTCTCATTTTTTCCCCTTGTCCC